CCCTACTGCATACCACAGGGAACTATAGTCAATACCCTGTGATAAACCATGATGGAAAAGAACATAAGAAATGTCTACATGTGTATAACTGAGTTGCTTTGCTGGAGAAGAGAGATTGGCACAACACTGTAAATCAACTAGGCTTCAATAAAAAAAGAAACCTTGTGCTTGTTCTTTACCCTCTAAAACAGTTGACTAAATTAAGCAGCAAAAGCAAGACAAGCTGCCAAAGCCACACTGGAGTTGAGGATTGGCACAGAATGGCACCGATTATGGGAACAAACCCATGAACAGGTCCGCAGAAAGTTGCATCATGAAAGACATCTATCTGGTAACTGATATATTAGCCACTGCTTGGTCACCAAGGCGGGTGTCCCTTAGTCAATGGCAAATGTGAGGGCAAAAGTGATCCCAAACACTCAGTCATATCCGACTCATTGCGACCCTGTGGACTGTGGCCCACCAGGCTCCTCTGTCCATGGGATTTCTCAGGCAAGAATGCTGGAGTGGGTTGTCATTTCCTACCCCAGGGAATCTTCCCAACCCAGTGATTGAACCTGCATCTCTTGTGTCTCCTGTATTGCAGATGGATTCTTTACCTGTTGAGCCATTGGGGAAATTATATAGATTAAGGGAAAGAAAGAGAAGAATGTATAGACCCTGTCAATGGAAACTGTATTTAATAGACATCTATTAGCTGGGAGAAATTTCAATAACCTCAGATATGCAGATGACACCCCCCTAATGGCAGAAAACAAAGAGGAAATACAGTGCCTCTTCATGAAGGTGAAAGAGGAGAATGAAAAAGTTGTCTTAAAACTCAACATTCAAAAAACTAAGGTCATGGCATCCAGTTCCATCACTTCATGGCAAATAGATAGGGAAAAAAAGGAAACAGTGACAGATTTTATTTTCTTGGGTTGATGGTGACTGGAGACATGAAATTAAAAGACACTTGCTCCTTGGAAGAAAACCTATGACAAATTTGGACAGCATATTAAAAAGCAGAGACATTACTTTGCTGACAAAGGTCCATCTAGTCAAAGCTATGGTTTTCCAGTAGTCATGTATGGATGTGAGAGTTGGACCATAAAGAAGGCTGAGTGCCAAAGGATTGATGCTTTCAAATTGTAGTTTTGGAAAAGACTCTTGAGACCCTTGGACTGCAAGGAGATCAAACCAGTCAATCCTAAAGGAAATCAGTCCTGGATATTCATTGGAAGGACTGATGCTGAAGCTGAAGTTTCAATACTTTGGCCACCTGATGCAAAGAACTGAGTCATTGGAAAAGACCCTGATGCAGGGAAAGATTGAAGGGGGGAGGAGAAGGGGATGACAGAGGATGAGATGATTGGATGGCATCACCGAGTCAATGGACATGAGTCTGAGCAAGCTCCAGGAGTTAGTGATGGACAGGGAAGGCTAGCATGATGCAGTCCATAGAGTCACATAGAGTCAGACGTGACTCAGAGACTGAACAACAACAAGCCTTCACACTCCCAAGGACACGTATGTTTGCTTGTGTCAATGTCTTTAGCAGGCAACTAGAAAGAATAAAAAACGATTTACCCTGCTCACCGATTTTTTTGTTTATCTTCAGATCCCCTGTCTCACTAAGTTTTACAAACTCAAGCTGGGAGGCAGAAACCCTGCCTGACTCAGCAGAAGAGCACATGGAGAGAACCCAGAGCAGAGCCCGGCACTGACAGCTGCAGCACATGCTGAAGCTGCCCCCAGGCTGGTGAAGTCCTGGCTTCCGGGCTCACATTCCTACCAGGATCAGGGCAGAACTGGAATATGCCAAATGCACACAGCTTTGGTTGCTCCCGGGTACTGACAGACCCTTGAGTAAGAACACATTTTCAGGGGACTTCCCAGATAGTCCAGTGGTAAAGAATCTGCCTCCCAATGCAGGGGACGCTGGTTTAATCCCTGCTCGGGGAACTAAGGTCCCACATGCCATGGGGCAACTAAGCCCCTGTGTCAAAACTAAAGTCTGATGCACCCAAATACATTTTTTTAAAAATTAAAAAAAAAAAAGAACACATTTTCAGCTCAAATGATCCTTACAATTCCTTAAGATCAGTTGTTCAAGTACTTACTCAGTAGCAACTATGTGCCTGAGATTGTGATAACTACAATGAAACATCTCGGGCCCATCAAAGATGAAGGGAGCCAAGAACCTCTGGGATAAGAATGCAAGAAAGATGCTTCATGGTCTTCACAGCATTCAAAGGACCCATTCCAAACGTCTGGTGTTGCCAAGCCCATCGACACATCACCAAAGCCCTTTGCTTGGGGCAAATTTTCTTCTTCACCAGGGAACGTGATACTGTGTACAGACTCCACTGAGAACCAGCTAAGCTGCTCACTCAGGGTCATGGCCTTAGAGAAGCTGAGAGCTGCTCAAAGACTCAATGGTTTTCAAAACCACTTAAGGTAGCCACAGGCTTTAGAAATTTCCTGGAGGCTTCTGACATGTGTTTGGCTGGTCTAGGGTGGTTCTCCTTGGAAAGAGGCCATGCTGTGGTTTAAAAGCCAGCAAGAGTGCATGCCAGATGCTCACTGCCTCGCAAGGAATGGAGATTCCTTCCCAGGAATGAAACCCCTCTCCAGTGTCCTTGCCTGGAAAATGCCATGGACAGAGGAGCCTGGTAGGCTACAGTCCATGAGGTTGCAAAGAGTCAGACACAACTTAGTGACTAAACAACAACAAATCCAAGAACGAAGGGAGAGGGGAGGATAACCATCAGGGTGATATCTATCCTTACACTGCTCTTGCCAAGGAAATGCATCATTCTGAGATGCAGCCTTTGCCATGGAGTCTTGAAACGTCAAGGCATTGACCTTGTAGGCACTTGCATGCCTATCTCTGCACACAAGGATGCTGCCTCATCACTGTGTTACTCGCCCTGAGAACCCACAATATCTTGGTTTTTGATTCATGGTCTTCAGGGTCAGATCTGGCTTAAAAGCCTGGTCTTGCCATGTACTAGTTGTGTTATTTGCCCCTGCAAAGTCCCAGTCTCTCCATCAGTAAAATGGGGATGACAACCAAACCATGATAAAGATTAAATATCCCTTAATTCAACAATCCATGTAATACCGTTAGTGAAATGCCTCAGCATACTGAAGATGCTCTAGGGACTTCCCTGGTGGTTCAGTGGAGAGGCATCTGCCTGCCAGTGCAGGGGCACAGCTTTGGTCCCTGCTCCGGGAAGACAGCACATGCTGCGGAGCAGCAAAGCCCACGGGCCGCAACCGCCGAGCCTGTGCTCTGCAACAGGAGAAGCCGCTGCCACGGGGAGCCCACACACCACAACGAAGAGCAGCCTCCATCGCCGCAACCAGAGAAAACCTGAGTGTAGCAACGAAGACCCAGCACAGGCCAAACAAACATAGGAGACGAAGGAGTCGGCGGGCTGACGGCAAGAATGCAATGCTGCAGAACCTTGAGCATCTGGCTTACTGGGTATCCTCCACTAATACCAGTTAGAAATTATACTTATCTATCCTTCAAAAAAAAAAAAGGGCTAAAGCAAATCCTTGCATCAGATTTTGGAAGGTAGTTTTCACTATATTGGGGTAGGGCAAAATCAGACATCATGGAAAAAAGATCAGTATGCTATACTGAGAATTCCCTGGTGGTCCAGTGGTTAAGACTCTGGGCTTCCAATTTCTGGGCCCAGGTTCAGTCTGCGGCCGGAGAACTAAGATCTGAACAACCCTGCAGCACATTGAAACAAAGTACATATATATACATATACGACATGTTAAAAAATATGTAAACAAAATATTTACATAAAAATGGCCAAAGTAACTATAAAGTGATAACTGAGAGACAATATTTGCAATGGTTTATGAGCTAAGATCAAGTTCAATTCTATGTGGAGTGGCACTTAAAGGGAAAAACAGGGGGGACAGAGGGTCTGCAGGAGGAGTGAGATGCGATTTTACTCATTAGATCACATATTTATTGTTAATTGATTAAAATGGATAATGAATTAAGAAAGAAAATCTAAGAGGGCTAATTTTTTGTTGACCATTGAGATACTTGTTGGTATGGCAACCTCCTGTTCTCTCTGTTTTCCACTCTGTAAGTTGGAAATATAAATGCAAATTTATGACATTTCCGATACCAGAGTAAGACAAGGAATAGTCTTTTCCTGTGGTTTGTGGAAAAAGTGTAAATGGTTACATTTGGGTGATAATTTAATTTTCCAGCATAGATTACATGTCTCCTTAATGTCCCCCATCCCTAGAATGCCAAGATTCTTCCAAAGTATTGTGAGAGTATGAATCCTGAATTGTGCTATGCTGTACTTAGTCACTCAGTTATATCCAACTCTTTGTGACCCCATGGACTATAGCCCGCCAGGCTTCTCTGTCCATGGGGAGTCTCCAAGTAAGAACACTGGAGTGGGTTGTCATGCCCTCCTCCAGGGGATCTTCCCAACCCAGGGGTTGAACCCAGGTCTTCCACATTGCAGGTGGATTCTTTTACTGTCTAAGCTACCAGGAAAGTCCACAAATACTGGAGTGGGTGGCCTATCCCTTCTCCAAGGGATCTTCCCGACCCAGGAATCGAACCAGGGTCTCCTGCATTGCAGGAGGATTCTTTACCAGCTAAGCTACCAGGAAGCCCTGAATTACTGAGATGCAGGTCTTTGGTTCTAACCATAGCCAAGGGACACCATCACTGAACAGAATTATTCCGCCCACAATGGTGCTATTCAGTGGCTTCTCACTGTACTCTCATCTCCCGTACATTATCCCCCAGCACCCTTATTTCAAGGTGTTTCTGCAGCCCTCTGCTCTCCTAACGCCCCATGCTGAAAGGACAGTTCATGTCAGCGGCTTCACTGAATCTGTTCAGAATGTTCCCACAGGCAGGAACAGATGAATGGTGAAGCAGACATTTCGCACCAGTTGAATCCTATTCACTGAGAACATCACTGTCCCGGACAAACGTGGAAGAGGAAAAAGTAGCGCGGGCTCACCTGGCGGAGTTTGGTTCCCACCATGGAGGCACTGCTGTCAAGCACAAACACCACATTCTTGGGTAAAGGCGGAAGGTCTTTGGGGGCAAAATAGTGCACAAAATAGCCATCTAGAACCTGGTAGAAGGAAGAGAAAGTAAAATTGATAGTGCTCAGATTAGGTAGCAAAACAAACCAAGATGGAGATTCTATGGAATGTCTAAAAGTCAAAGACAGCATGAAATAGAGTCTAGGGCCAGATGCCACATCCAGAGCAAAAGCATCCGTGGTCCTGATTCCTCCAACTAATTGCTAATTTAATTTGGATAAGGATAAAATCATTCCTTAAAAATATATCAATTAAACTAACTCAATTTAAATCATTCATCTCTTCTTGACCCTTGTCACTTGAGAATCCTGCTTCCTGCATCATCTGTTTTTCTCCTAAGCATCTTTCATGTTAAGACATAAAGATTGCCTACATGCTGGATGCACATTAACACATTTTGATAATCCTGCCCTGTTTCTGGAGAAATACGACCTACAGGAAATTGAGTCATGGGCCAGTTTCTCTAAATTAAAGATGAACTAAGTTCTGGAAAATTACATTATAGGTTTCATTGACCTCTAGATTACTGAAGCAGGAAATAGATATCCCCAGCCTCCAGCAAGGGAACATCACTCGGAGACACATTTGGGGTTAAAACAGATTTCCTAAGAATCAGTAGTTCTCTCTCTCAGGTGAGTACTGAAATCCCTCATTCTGGGTCTAACTAAAAGTATCAATCAAGCTAATGAGAAACAGCAGAACAAACCCATTACCTGGATGTCCCCAATGCTCTGTTCCCTATTGACATCATATCTAATGATGAAATCTCCCAAAATGCCATTCTGGGCAATCTTGGCTTGCTGGACCACAGTAGGCTTAAAAACAACTTTGGCAAAAGTATCATTTTGGTTGATAACAGTAGAAGGAGGTGGCCCAGAATCATCTGTAGGCAAGATAGAAACATAATGAATAACTGAATAACTTTTTCTGAAAAGAAACCAGATCTATTTTGCATGGAGACAGAAAGTTAGCCTTTATTTTATTTCAAGTTTGCATTGCAGATGAATTCCCAAAAGTTTGTACCAGTAACATATCTCAATGCATGAGATATATTAGCTTCCATTTTATCTCTATATCTTCTTCTAAATCCTTTCTTATAAGAATTTTAAAAACACACAAAAGTAGAGAAGAGAGTAAAGTGAACTCTCATGGAACAATCATCTGACCCAACAATGTTATCAATATTTTACCAGTCTTATTTTATCTGTTTTTATGGATTCTCTCACCATTTGTTTTTAATTCTTTGGATGTGCCACATGGCATGTAGGATCTTAGTTCCCTGAGCAGGGATCAAACCTGTGCCCCCTGTATTGGCAACACAGAGTCTGAAGTCAGTGGACTACCAGAGAAATCTCCCTTTCACCATTTTTTTGCTAGAATTTTAAAACAAATCTGAGGCATCATATTTCACCATAAATGCTTCTTTGTGCGTGAGGGCATTTTTGAACTGCATAAATACTTCAGCCATGTCTGACTCTTTGTGACCCAATGGACTGTACACCACCAGGCTCCTCTGTCCATGGGAAGAATACTGGAGCGGGTTGCCATTTCCTCCTCCAAGGGCTTTTCCTGACCCAGGGATTGAACCCACATCTCTTAAGTCTCCTGCACTAGCAGATGGGTTCTTTACCACAAGGGACATCTGGGAAGCCCAAAATACTTTATGTATCTCTACAAGAACTTTTTTCAGCATAACCACAAAACTGGTATCAAAAGTAACAAAATTAATGCTTTGTGCTTTAATATCATCAAATACTCAGCTTGCATTTAAAGTTTCTTGATTCTCTGGAAAATGTCCTAGAATGGTAGCTTTGCTTGACTCAGGATCATAACAAAGTCCCCACATCACATTTGACTGACATTTCTGAAATCTCTTTTAACCCACAAATGTCCCCTCTGTCTACCCTTTTACCAATGCTACATATACATGTTGTGAAACACCAGTCTTCTCTTCTATGGAGTTTCTCACATTCTCTATGTCATGATGGTTTTTCTGTCCTGTCTTTTGGTCCCCTGCTCTCCTGGTCCCCGACTCTGGCTTGAACGTAGCATCACAGGGAGCAGAAAATATACCAATGCCCAGGTCAAGAGCTCATTTAACTGTTCTGGGACACAGTCAGGGTGCTGGGTCTTTTAAATTTCCCCTCTGAGGCTAATGCTCAGGGCAAGCTTGAGGCTCACAGCTCAGTCCCCTGCATCTCCTTGTGTTCGGTGGATAGAGCTAGAGGCTGGTTAGATTCCGGTTCAATGCTGTGGACAAGAACACTTCCTGGTGATGCTGAGTCCTTATTTCTTTACCACATCAGGATGTACACAATATCTATTTGTCTGTTTTTAGTTTCAGTAAAAGAGTGCTGGACGGTTCTGATCACCCATGATGAAATTCCTCATCAGTCTTTCCCTTAACAGATTTATCAATCACTGATGATGTTTGTTCACTGTTACATCAGAGTTGCAAAAGGGCGGTTTCTGATTCTCTCGTTCCTTCCATACGCAATTCTTCCATAAGGAGCGCTTCACCATCAATCATTTGGTTCTCATAACGTGCTACTTGTCCAGAAGGTTTATGACTCATTAAAAAAACATTTCCCAAAGCCTTCCCCAGCACGAAACTTAGGATGTAAATTAAAATTCCAGAAAGAGGAAGAGATAAATGATTTTTCTCTGTGATTTAAGAAAAATGAGTGAGATGATACATTAAGCAAAGAACAATCTCGTTTTACTCCTAGCTTTCATTTCCTTCGGTAAGACACACTACGGAGAACTATTTCACAGACTACCCACCTTTGTAAATCCAATCAATACTGTGTCTATATGTTGAGCAACTAGCTTTTTGAGATTTGTATGCATTATGAAGAATAGGAAAATGAGGAATTTCTAAACATCAGTATGTGGAGACTTTTAACCCAGATACTGAATCAAAGGCTGGCTTGAAATTGCCGCAAAGCATCCGATTCTCTTTTTAAATCTATTCAAGTTGATACCATGGAGTAAGCTGACCAACAATTTTCCATCCTTAATTAGCAAAACAAAAAAGGAAACGAGGCATCATTTGCCCATGGTAATTTGTGTCTAAGAATAAAAACTCAAAGGAAGTTTAAACATTTCCTTCACCAAAAGAGACAATTAATTTTAAGATACCATTTAGGTGTAACCTTAACAGGAACCACAAGGCAGAACTGATTCTTCTATTATTTATACTTACCAAGGGCAGGAATTTCAGGACTGACCAGAGAGGTAGCAAACAGGGAAGTCTGTTCTTGCAGAAAGTCAGTTGTAGGTGAGAGAATATTTCCAACAGACCTGCTCATGGGAAAAAGGTGCTGGGAAAATCTCCAGGGGACCGTGAAGAGTGCCAGCCTGTGTTCTCTGGAGTCGTCTCTCACTGATGATTACTGGTCAAGCACCACGAATGAGAGGTAAGAACATACCCTAGCTAAGAACTCGAGATGACAACTGAGACCCAAGGACCTGCACTTGATCCTGGGTCCACCTGTTATCCATGAGATTTTGGGCAGGTTACTGAGCCCTGGTTATCTCATCTCTAAAATGGATTAGCGGTCTACCAAACACACTCTTGACATGGTTGTGATGTGATGCAGTTAGCACCATTCTGATTCATGGGGAGCAGTCATGCTTGCTAATATCATCATCAACCAGAAACAGGTACAAAACAGAAGCGCTGGTGAATTAGACATAAGACAATACATCGTGTCAAAGTTGGGATGCTCTATGCAAGGAAGAGGAAAGAACAACTGCTTCTGGCAACATGGTTCAATCAGAGTCATCTTGAGGGAAAACATAAGATACAGAAGAAAGTATTCACTATTTCCATTTACACGAAGCTGAGCAGGCAAGACTCATGCCGATCGAAAGAGCATACTGGGGCCTCTCGGGTGTGAGCCTCGCCGACCCCTCCCGCAGGAGACCGTCGCAGTCAGCCAGCCCCTGCTTCTTGGTGACCACGTGTGACCCAAAGGCTGTGATCGAGAATGCTGATATGTCAGAGGAGATGCAACAGGACTCGGTGGAGTGTGCCCCTCAGGCACTGGAGAAGTATAATATAGAGAAGGGCACTGCGGCCCATATCAAGAAGGACAGCCCCACCTGGCGCTGCATGGGGGAGGAATTTCAGTAGTGATGTGACATATGATACCAAACACTTCATCCACTTCTACCCGGGCCAACGGGCCGTTCTCCTGTTCAAATCTGGTTAAAAGCATGGACCATGCCACACACCCAGTGATCCATCCAGAAACCAGGACTGCAGCCTAAATTCCAAATACCAGAGACTGAAGTCTTCAGCCTTGCCTAAGGGAACCCCTCCACCTTTGAACCTTTATTGTGTTCTGTACAGGGCATTCTCTGTACTAGTTTGCTGTGATTATAAAGCAAGGGGCAAAACAGCTTACATTTGTATTTATTTTCTATTCCACATCTCTCTGCCCCATGTTTTTTCTTTTCAAAATCCATTCCTTTAAAGAAATAAATCTGTTGGAGGAAAAAAAAAAAAAGAAAGAAAAGAGCATTCTGGTTCCTTTGGGGAGAGTAAACACGGACTGGGAAAGAGGATAAGGGGACATTTGGATGCTTAAAATACTCTACATCTTGACTTGAAGGTAACTGCTGGGTGTATATATATGTAAAACTTCCTTAAGCTACACATATAAGGTTTATATACTTTATTCTATGCATACCCCAATTTTGTAAAAAAAATTTAAACTTGTTGAAAGTTGCATAGCACAAGAGATTGAATAAGTAACTCCCAGGATGGAACATAGCATTGTTTGTCGAGTGGGGCTCTGTCTTGGGGTAAATCTTTTTGTGTGGGCACTTATATATACAGGGTAATCCTGGTGGTATTACACAGCGTAGTAGCTGGCAGAACGAGGACCAGGCACAGAGGTCAGGGAAACATTTTCTTGTGCAGTTATCCCTATGTGTGTGCGTGCTCAGTCGTGTCTGACTTTGTGACTCCATGGACTGTAGCTGCCAGGCTCCTCATTCCATGGAATTTTCCAGGCAAGAATACTGGAGTGAGTTGCCATTTCCTTCTCCAGGGAATCTTCCTGACCCAGGGATTTGAACCCTGGGCAGTTTGAACTGCAGGCAATCTGCTGCTTGGCACGCAGATCCTTTACCAATTGAGCCAGCAGGGAAGCCCTCTGCATCCCTCAGCTCTAAGAAAGATGTCCTGTTGGCCGAGGCAGTTTCACAAACTTGTCTCACTAGCAGTGCTCCGGCAAACCCTAGATGAGTTCATCATCTGCCAGGGGATACAGAGCAGCTCCACTGTGTGGTTTTGATCCAGCAGCCATCACCTGGGAACTTGCTAGAAACACAAGTTCTTGGGCTCGTCACAGAAACCTGGAGTCAGAAACCCTGCAGATGGAACCAGGAATCCGTATTTTCACAAGGCTTCCCAGGTGACTCTGGTTCCTGCCCAGACAATGGTGGTGTGCCTTTGATGTATGTGAGTGGGTGGCACTAGATTCTCTCCAACCTTCAAAGTTGACACAAATGAGATTTTACTCTTACACTGTCAAGGGGAACAAACCAGTCAATAGTAAAGGAAATCAACTCTGAATATTCGCTGGAAGGACTGAAGCTGAAGCTGAAACTCCAATCCTTTGGCCACCTGATGCAAAGAGCCAACTCATTAGAAAAGACCCTGATGCTGGGAAACACTGGAGGCAGAAGAAGGGGGCGATAGAGGATGAGATGGTTAGATGGCATCACTGACTCGATGCACATGAGTTTGAGCAAGCTCCAGGAGACAGTGAAGGACAGGGAAGCCTCACATGCGCAGTCCATGGGGTCACAAAGAGTCCGACACGACTTAGTGACTGAACAACAACATTGTAAGGTCGTACCTACCATTTT